CCAGAGTGGTCCCATTATTTGGTATGCACTTCGCACCTTCAAAGTGCAAAGTGTTGCTGCAGGACCCCATCCACTCAATGACCCCTTGACACTTGCTAACGAGGAACTCGATGTGGTTGATCAATTCACTTTTCTTGGCAGCTGCATCAGCAATGATGGGCGCATAGAAACTGACGTTAGCTCACGCATTGTAAAGGCCAGAGCTGCCTTCTTGAACCTGCGTCATCTTTGGCGACAGAAGGGAGTTTCCCTCCGTCTGAAAGGCCGTGTATTCAAGGCCACAGTGAGGGCCGTTCTGCTCTATGGTAGTGAAACTTGGCCCCTTCGGTGTGAAGATCTGAGGCGCCTTCAAGTCTTTGATCATCGTTGTTTGCGAAGCATTGCTGGTGTCGGATGGCACCAGCGTGTCCGCAACGATAATGTGCGTAGGCGAGTACTAGGGGGTGATGATCAAGCTAGCTCCCTAGAACAACAGATAACACTGAATAAGTTGCGTTGGCTCGGGCACGTGCTACGCATGCCTGGTCACCGCTTACCTAGGAGGGCCTTGTTCAGTCTACCAGGTGTCGGATGGCGCAAGGCTCGAGGTTGACAGAAGTTGAATTGGCAGCGGGAAATGAAGTCACTGACGACCAAACTGGGTGCCGTTGATCCGTCTCGCCTTCCGGGTTGGAGTCTACGTGACTCACCTTGTGCTTGGCTCGAGACTTTACAGGACATGGCTCGCAACCGACACCAGTGGCGCGTCTGCTGCCGTCTCCTAATCAGGTTGTCTGTTTAAAGTGTGTTTGGTGCTGAGTTATCTGCAAGGTAATGGCTGATTATGACGCGGGGCAGTGAAAGCCGCAAGGAAGCTGTCTCGCCGATGCCGCCTTATCTTTGCACGATAGCCAGCTGTTTGTGACGGTATGTTGTTAACACAAGGTGTAGGCGCCTTGACCCTGAATGTTTGCTTAGGGCATTAAGGTTTTCAGGTAAGTCCCCCTTCTCTCCCTCTTATTCTTTATTTCATAGGTCCTCATGGTTGTATGGCAGCGAAGCATCAGTTCAAATGGCTGATGTACTGCTGTTGATGATGATGATGATGACTGGCCGTCGCAGAGGGTAATAAACGGCGCCCTATCTGCTACATCGAGCAGGGTGGATAGGGGTTTGGATGCTACTGCTCAGGCCTACCCGTCTTCTTGTCCTACTTCTTGCGCTTCTTCATTCTTATCGTCCCGCTCCAACTTCACTTTTATCCCCCCATTTTCAATCCCCAATTCTTGGCTTGTCTTCTAATTTCAAATCACACACAATCGCAGGGCCTCGCTCCAATCCAGTCGACAAGTCCATGTTCAACCAAGCTGACAACGTCAGTTCATCTGTTTCCCTTTGGAGTCCTCGTGTCTCGCTAAGAATGGCATGCTTCAAGGTGCGTACTTTGCTACAGATCGGTCAACAGGCAGCACCTGCCCGCACACTAGGCACCCTATCGATCGATATTTGCTGCTTATCAGAAACCCGCCTGCAAGTTTCGAGCTCAGTGCTTACTCTGAAACCTCCCACATGCGACACTGGCGGCACATTCTCATTGCATCTGTCTGGCGATGATGCAGTTTCCAGTGCCGGCCAAGCTGACGTCGGCATTGTTTTGTGTTCCCGGGCTGAAGCTGCCCTGGTCGATTAGATTCCAGTCAACAGTCGGATATACGCCGTTAGTTTAACTGGTTCGTTCCATGCTACGAACTCGCGCGGGAACAATCGGTGCCTGTTTGTCATTGCGGTCTACGACCCTACAAACTGTAACACTGATTCGATGCAAAATGATTTCTGTCAGCAACTTAACCGTCTCCTTCGTTACAGAAGTAGCACGGATACTGTGGTGTTAGCTGGCGATCTAAACGCCTAAATCGGCAAATTGTCCTCTGATGAGCTTCATCTGGGCGGCCAACATGGTGTAGGCTCCCATAAGGATAACAGTGAGCGATTGCTACAGCTGTGTGAAGATGCTCATCTCTTTTTCGCGAGCACAAACTTTCGACATAACACCCGCTGAAGAGTGACTTGGTGCCCACCAGCCTCGGGCCAGCTATGGACACAAATCGATCGTATCGCGATCAGTTACCGCTGGAGAGGCTGTGTCCAAAACCGTCGCTCGATTTAGAGCACGAGCGTGGACTCTGACCACGCCTTTTTCTGTGCCGACCCCTGGGTGCGTTTCGGTGGAGGTCCGCGACGTCGATGTGACCAGATTGGCCCCAGCCAGCTGACGAAGCCAGGTGTTCTGAATGTGTATCAAAGTATGCTGACATCCGGTTTGAGTAAGTGCCCATTGAACACCGTTTAAGGTCACTGGTCGCATATTCGTCAAATGTTACTATCAGCAGGCATGTCTTCGTGTGGCAAATCAAATTACCAAACTGGACATTGGGTCTCCACGAAGTCTCTGGAACTTATGGATGCTTGCCGACGTATTCCTGCTGAAACCGAATACAATGAGGCTCGCAAAAATCTCAGGGCATAACTGTGTGCTAGCCTGAAGAAAGACCGCGAAGCCTGGTTTTCTCATCGTGCCTCAGATGGAAACAGCCGGTACCGTTGGTAATCATCGTAAGTTATTCCGTCTGATACCGGTAAACAAGCAGTAGGAGACCTGATTGGTCAATGGTTAGAATCCAGACAAACTTAGCCTCATGGTCCTCCAGGTTGGGGGTTGGAATGAAGGTGGCACCTTTTCCTTAATACGGACTCCTTGTAGCCCAACGCCAAACCCGCTGCCTTACGGTCAGGTTTTTGAACCAAAGGCTTTGCTTGAGAACCCTAATCGTTCTCCTATCTAGGCCTGGGCAACCTGACAGTATGCTGCCCACGCAATAAAATGAATCTCTCTTCAAACAATTTTCTGATGCTCTGGCCACCGCAGAGGACAATGAACACGTTTTGTTGGACATAATTTCCGATATGACGAAGAGCTGACCCCAGTGACGTTTGTGTTGTGAGTTCCTTTGTCCTTCCCACTCCTGCTTAGAATCCCCCTCCCAACATGATCTCATTCGTTAGGCATCATATAACTTTTTGCGAAACAGACGGCTGTTAGCTCTCCGGAACAATGTCCAAACGTTTCTGGGACTCAGCCGGCATGCCACTGTTGTTTTTGTTTTCTTGTGTATTGTTTTGCGGCACAATAGCTGAGGTGTTTTCCACTTGTCGCTAACGGGTGTAATGAATGAATGAAAGCATTCTCTCGAGGATACTGAGCTCCGAATCAGAATGCTCTACTTTTGGAGGGATACCAGGAAGTCAGGCTGCAAACTGTGATTCGCAGAAGCTCAAAGCACCGCCATTTTAAAACACGAATTAGCTATGCACAATGATAAGAAACCAACTTGCAGTGATTTCGTAACCTTGCAAATGTTCGGGTGCAGGAACTCAGCCACTGATGGCTAAAAACGTCCCCAAGACAATCAGCCATCAGCCTGTTGGAAATGCGGCAACTATCATTCTGTGAGGCGCAAATGATCATTGGCGGCACTCGTTTCCAAATTTGCCTATCGCTGCTACTGCAAACAGCCACAGGACGCTTGTGTCTGCCGAAGGACCATGAATGTCCTGCGCTGCATTGCCTGCAGCTGCATCCACACATTCCATGTTTAGTATAAATCCGAAGGAATAAGATTGGGAGGCATGTGGCTGGGAGCCGCGATTGATTCGGAGCCTGTCCACACTTCTTCCACACGCACCTCATTGATATTAATAGGACGAAACACGTGCGCCATATCTTTGCAGGGTGGTGGCTAGGCCGTAGCCATTTCCACACTAGATAGAACCAATCTTTGAGCTTAGCATCGTCACGAAAACTATGCACCTCGTCTCTCCTAACAACGATCAAGTTCCTGGAGCAAGTATAATCGAGGTGGCAGTTTTTCTATAGGTAGGCATTTTGTCAACACTTGCACAAGGCGCAGTCGCCCTGGGGATATTAATAAGCAGGCTTTTAAAATGTGAGCAAATAAGTACTCGGGCGCACTTACAGACTAACTGCATCGACGATATTGCACACGTGCCACATCGGTTTCATTTTTGGCTTGGGTTAGTTAGTGAAATCGGATGAAGCATACCTATACAACTTACTCGCCCTCTCTTCTACATTGGGTTCTCGTGCACGCTTCAATGGCTTGCCAGACCAGGCGCTTTGCACTGTGAACACTAAGGGTTTGGTGCTGTTCGCCCATCGATATCCACGCATTGTTTCTCCTATCTGCAGACAGCGTCACTGATGTTAAAGTTGGAGTTCGGCATTAGACGAACTTTGGCACTCGAACCACGTGCGCTGCCTCTGTCACATCTTTCGCCTGCTTATCGGCTTATTGTCTTCTCATAAGTTGTTCAGCAAGATTGCAGTTTTTGGGTGGTTGACTAAATGGTTTGCTCAAAATGATGCGTGCTGTCCTCCCAGAAAGAGGTTCCGGAGCGAACCAAAGTAGCAGCCCAATACTCTATCTGATAAACTTCCCGCTTAAAATCAGAGGTGCTCCGTACACACTCTACTCTTCCAATTCCAACTGTTGATTTTTATTCCGTAGTCTCATTGTCTCTCCTTATCTATTTCTTGACGGGTTCGCGTTTGTGTCTTTGCATCTTTCTCCTGCTTGTCTTTTCTTTATCTTTCGTTCAGCCCAACTTATGGCAACTGGATCCACACTTCGGTGTTAATCTCTCAGAAGCTGAACCAAACTGAACATTACTCAAATGTATCATACTCACACGACTTAATGGTTTGGGAAAGTGAAATCAGTGCAAGCTATACCTCATCCCACCTCTCTTCCACGAAAGATCCACTAACCACATTCCACACTTCACAGTGTTTGAAGAGCCTCGTGTGGAAGTTTGTCTTTACTCCATGTGATAACATCTTTTTACTCCCTCTTGTCTTTGAGATGTCCACCGATGGAATTTCTTCCTATACTATGGTTTCTACATTGCTGCTACTGCATGTTCTTGCTCATTTTGATTTGCAGGCTTGGTGGAGGTCTATCGTTTTCCGCTATTGAATGCTGCTTGTTTGGATAGACTGAACCACTTGTTGGATTTGTTCGATCAACAGGGTTGTAAGCGCGACAAACCGAACACTATGAATTATGGTGGTGTAACCTTGTCCGTTATTCCTGGAAGTCAAGCCCGAAATTGTGGCGAACACAAGGTCGATTGTGGTGGCGCTGATGTCGATTTCACAGAGAGTTTGCTGGATCTTGGATTGCGCTCAATTTTGACACGTTTGTTTCCCGATTTGGGTTTTACCATTGATTCATATCGATCGTTCACTGTGGAGTACTCCGATTCTACTCTTCCTTCTCATGATGATGACCGTCACAAGGACAAAGAACTTGCTGCTCACTACGACAACTCCGAGGTACATTGCTTTGCCTTTTTAAATCTCACCTAGGCACTTGTTTATTTTTGGTGTAGTCTGTACTTTAATAGACTGAAACGGTGTGGTTTTACTTAATGGAAGCTCTCTTCTACTTACACTCATGTCTTGGTGCCCTCCGCAATCTCTAGCTCTTTACCTCATAAATCAGTTTTCTTTTACCCTAGGCCAACCTTGGCATTTTTTTTCGAGAAGTTTGTGATACTATGATACTCTACCGATGTACCGTACGAGGATTGAACCCAACACCTTGCCTCATTCAAGATGGCTGGTTAGCCGAACAACCTCGTTGGGCCAACTGGGTGGTTCGGAATTACCCCCTTCCAGCAAATAGTTCGGCGGCAGTGTTCCAGGATGTGGTGGGTTTTCGCCTGGCAAGTGTTCTCTCTACAAAAACCCACAAATGTCCGTTTAACAACACTGTGACGTGACGGTTGTAACTCGCCACCAACTAAAGTCACCCATTGTTTATCCGGACAACCGCTTCAAGTCCACAACCATCAAGCATCCATTTACCACTGGCGACACGTTCAACCACGACTAAAAGGGCAGAAAAACATTTACAAATTCCATAAACAGCCAAACACGTCCACACGCACAAATACATACATTCATATATCAACATATGGGACAATCCTATTGTTCCATTGTACACTAACTGAGCACATTTTGCACTCTTAACATGATCACGCCTGTGCAGGCGTACCTCGCTTAGTCGGGAATAAACGTTTTATTTCTTTATTTATTGACACTGCATTCTACGACCGATCGGTTTCGTCCTAATTTGGACTAGTCAGGTAGAGATAGCTTAAGCTGAGAAGGGAAGCCGACACAGTGGTCGACGGCTTACGTCTTGGTCACTGGGCCAGATCTCCACAGCAGCACTTGACACAACGATCAGAAATTCATTACTGGGTCTTTGGTTACTTGCGTTGTGTCTGGATTGCGACACGCAATCTCAATCGAGACAACAGTTTACTTGGAAGCAAAACTACGCCATTTTGGTCACCGCATCTAAGACATAATAATGTAATTCTAACCGCTATGTCAAGCGCTGTTGTGGACCTCTGGTCTAGTGACCAAGACGAATGCCGTCCAGCACTGTGTCGGCTTCCCCTTTCAGCTCATGCTATCTCTACCTGACTAGTCTAAATCAGAACGAAACCGGTCAGTCGGGGAGTGCAGTGTTAATAGAGGGCAGCTCCGAAACTCTCCACTTCCGATGAGGTCCTAGTGATCGAAATAGCATAGGTTTGCCTCAAAGCAAACTGTAGTCTCAATGGAGATTGCGTGTCTCAATCCAGACACACGGCGGGTACTCCATGGCCCAATAATGACACTTTCCTCCTCCTATTACACTGATTGCAGTTCTGTCTTTTATACGATCATACCTCCACTGCGTCGGCCCGTAGCCTAGAGGTAACGAGCTTGCCAAGCAACCTCGTGGTACCAGCTTGGTGGTTCGGGCTTTTCCCGTTCTAGCAAATGATTCAGCAGCAGTGGGTTTTCGCCTTGCAAGGCTTCTCCCTATGAAAAGTCACAACTGTCTGTTTAACAACACTGCGTCGTGGCGGATGTGACTCGCCACTAAATAAAGTTACTGACCCTTGCCCCTCCCTGAGAGGCATTGTACTCCAAGGGTGCGTTGGGTCCATTGCCCTTCACGGACCGAAACGCGCATGAACTATCTACTTGGTCACCGGCTCCCAACGGGTTGCGATCCCTCACATCGCCTTGTTGCCTTGTAGGTTAGATCCTTGATCAAAGGCTCGGGGTGGGGCCCCCCTAAGACAACCCTCTACTTTGGCCTGGGCAATCGGGTAGTATCACGCCTACTGACGAATCATGGACCACAATGCTTACCACTGCTCTTGGTACGTATGTCATCTTTGCTAACTCAACTCCTCAACCTCCACTCACAGATCACTTCATTTCCCGTCCTTCACCTATATGTACTCTTGCGTCTTCTTCGGTCACTGTCACAAACGACCCGCTCGCAACTGGTGGAAGTAACAGCCAAACTCCCGGTTTTCAATGTCCTGCGATCGCAACCGTCTCTCACTCCACCGAAGCTCCAGCTGTTCTTCGACCTTGTTCTTCATTCATCCTCGCAGCGTTTAATGCAGATCGGACGACAAGTATGTCTGGCCCGTAATCTTGAAACGCTCTCGGTAGACATCTGTTGCGTTTCAGAGACCAGATTACAAGACTCTAGCGCCGTCATCAAAATGGTCTCTCCGGTAAACCCTGACGCCAAATACCACTTCCGACTTTCCGGATACCCGGAAGCTGTTGCCTCTAGCTAAACTGGTGTTGGGGTTGCACTGAGTGCCAGGGCTGAATCAGCTCTGCTTGACTGGATCCCAGTCAACAGCCGGCTATGTGCAGTCAGACTAAGAGGTTCATGTAACGTAAGCAGGCGTCGAGACGCTAAGCATGCTTTGTTTGTCATCTCCGCCTACGCCCCTACAGACTGCAGCCCGGATGCAGTTCAAGATAGCTTTTATCAACAACTACATGAACTTCTGCGTTCCTCCAAACGGACTGATATAGTCATTCTTGCCCGGGACTTTAACGCACGGGTTGGCCGCCTTCTACCAAGCGAGCACCACATTGGGGGTAGTTTTGGTCTCGATGGCAGTCGATCAGACAATGGAGACAGACAGTTTGCTCTTTGCTCTGATCATCGCTTGTATCTTTCGAGCACTACTTTTTGGCACTCGAAGAGACACACTGCTACCTGGCGCCCGCCCTCACAAACGCAAGAGTGCTCCCAGCTTGACCACATAGCAATCAGCTACAGATGGCGCGGAAGTGTAACGGACTGATCAACTTATTTAGACTCCGATCACGCATTTGTTTGTGGTAAAATTTGCATGCGTTTCGGAGGATCACCCAAGCGCGCTCACTACCGACCGGACGTCGCGAATCTACAAAACGCTGCGATTTTAACCAAGTACTAGGCCTCATTGTCAACATTGTTTGGCTCAACTATTGACGGTGACTTCTATTCGCAGATCAAAGATGCCTTAGTCTCCACCAGTATCGACCCTTGTGGAGTTGCCCGTCACCGACGAAGCGTTAGATTTTCGCCATCTCCCTGTCGCTGATGGACAAACGCCGCTTGATCCCGTCGGATTCCGGACACAGTGAAGAACGCCAATCCCTGGGTCGAAAGTTGCGCAGGAGTCTGCAAATGGACCGCGAAGCTTGATGGTGTAAACGTGCTAGGGAGATGGAGTTTGCTAGTCTCTCTGGTAATACCAAAACTTTTCCATCTCATTCGGGTCACCGAAGATGTTCGATCTGGTATAAGTGACACAATATGCGAAAAGGATGGCACCTTAATCACCAATTTTCAACGATGGTTGGACCGATGGGCCGAACATTTTGGCTCACAGTTTTGTTGGTGCCTAGTGGTCTACCCCCAAAGATCCTCTTACCAGGCAGTCGAGCAGGAGCTCCGCCACATTAAGCGTTATAAAGCCCCCGGCCCTGATGGTCTTCCTCTAGCTTTATTTAAAGATGGTGGCGCTTCGTTGATTTGCAAAATCACTGCTTTTTTCCCGAATGTTTGATCGAAAGAGGAAGTTCCATCACCTTTTTGGTGAATCGATAGTCGTCCCCATCTTCGAAAAGGTCTTGCGCACAATATAATCCAACTACAGAGGCATAAGGTTATTTCCCGCCGTTTGCAAGCTGCTGGTGTCCATCATACTTCCCAGGCTATCCCCAACACGCGAATCGTTGCAGCGAGAAAAACAAGCTGGGTTTCGCCCTGATTGCGGCTGCATCGATAAAATCTTCACTACCAGATCCTCGAGCTCCGCCATGTGTATCAGAGGCTAACGATTGCTGTGTTCTTGGATATCCGTGCAGCCTTCAATTCTGTCGATCGGATTTTACTGTGGCACTGCATGCTGTGGAGTGGCGTCCTCGAGCGCTCTCTATGGTCTGACCTCGGGCAGGGTTAGGGCTTATGGCAAGCTTTCGCCTTCCTTTGTGGTCTCCAGTGGAGTTCGACAAGAATGTCCTATCTCTTTTTTCCTATTCAAATTTGCCATTAAAGATGTTCTAAAGAACGCTCGGGGCGATTCGTTGAACGCTGATGTTGAGCTCCTCCCAGTTAGTCGAGTTGTTGAGTTGGATTATGCTGATGATATCGTCTTACTGGGTGACGATCCACACGTCGTCCAACTTGCACTAAACCGCTTGGCAATTGAAGCATCAAAGTGTGGTATGTACCTTTCGGCATCCAAATGTAAGGCTCTCTTTCAAGACTGGTAGGTGCCTGTGCCTGCACTCACTCTTGGTGGTGAGACACTGGAGGTTATGGAGAGCTTTGTCTACTTGGGAAGTTGCATCACTGTTGGTGGGGCTGTTGGAGACGAGATTTCGATGCGAATCTCAAGAGCACGCCTCGCTTTTTCTAGGCTGAGGCACTTGTGACCTCACCACGACCTTCGTCTCACCATCAAAGTGCGGGTCTATTGTGCAGCTGTTCGTGCTCTACTGTTGTACGGATGCGAGACCTGGCCCATTCGTAAAGATGACTTGCGCAGGCTATCCGTCTTCGAGCACCGCTGTTTGCGGTCCATTGCCAGTGTGTGTTGGCTGCGCCAAGTAAGCAATGCGGAAGTTAGAAAGCTTGTATTGGGACGATGAAACCACTCGCTCGAGGAGCTCGTCTCACTGCATCAACTGCGATGGCTGGAACACATATTTCACATGTCTTTTCAGTATTACCCCCGTCGTGCGTTGTTTACATTTGTTGGACAGGGTTGGAAGAGACGGTCTGGTTGGCAGCTTGCAACTTGGAGAAGCCGCATGAAAAAGCTGAGGAAACAGTTGGCCTCGGTCGGTTGTTGTCGACCACCCAGTTGAAGTCCGACATATGCGGATGATTGCTGGTTGCAGACCTAGGAAGCCATGGCTCAAGATCGATATCGACGGCGGACGTGCGTTGCGGTGTGTTGCGATGT